AAATTCTGAGTGCAGAGGGTGGGAGTCATCGTCTATTATGGAGCTGGATAACCGCTGTAACTGCCTGAGGTACAGGGTCTCCAGGTTTAGCTGTGGCTCACCAATCAGTCTGCTGGACCCCTTTGCGATCTGACTCAGAGAGTTTCTGCTCTTTAAAGTCAGGTTTCCAAACCATGACATTAGTGAAAAAGACAGAATTGACTCGATAGAAGCACGATAACACGTGATCATCATGGTTTTGTCAATGTTAAAATAGGACAGTTTCCTAAGAGAGTACAAATGCTGGTGCCCCCTTTTGCACACAGCTTCACAGTTTGGATCAGAGCTCAATTTTGAGTCAATAATTGTCCCGAGATATTTGAATGATTGCACAAATTCTTCTTTCTGATTCGCGATTGTTAAGACTTCATGTATGTGGGGATGTCTTCTAAAATCAATTATCATGTCCTTGGTTTTGATAATTGATTTCTGTCATTTAAGGTTTTCTTTTTGCACTTCTGCTGTAAGAAATAAAACTGCGTATCCCCATATCCTGTTTAAGGTCTTTATGTTAAGCGAACTTTGCCAGCTGCCGGCTGTAGCTTTCCCAAAATGTGGAACTATTCATTAACTTACACATTGTGATCCTTATTAAATGTGTGATTTGAATGCCAGTACATATTTAAGAATATTACATAATCTACTTGGAAGTAGAGTTACCTCTCACAGGCATTTAAGTCTTTGTGATCAGATTCATAATTCACCATTATGTGCTCAGACTGGTTGACTTTTTCTGGAGCTCTACAGGTTTCATTTAAATCCCCATGTAGCTCTATCTTGTACATGTGGGGGGAATTTCTATCCTGCGCTAAACACATCCCCCATGAGCCTGTAAGTCTATGTAAGCCTGGAATACTTCAAAAGGTCTAAAAAGGCTTCCATGCTTTGCAGTTTCATTGGATCGAATCCTTACAGATGGAAGCATTTTCAGACTATCGATTAAACCACAAGATATCTTGCCATGGTCATCTATTGGCAAGCTTTGCTGGATGTATACTCGACTGTCTCCAATTGGACAGAGATATGATTTATTTTTCATGTATATGAGGCATTATACACAGTCTGTTAAGCAGTAACACAGAAACCTAAAACACAAAGCATAGAAAATTGTTCCTATGGGTGTTTTGAACTTTTTAGGAGGCACATGGCGGTTTGATGTTTACGGACGCCTGAGGCATTACTGTCATTTGAACTGAAAGAGCAACTATAAAATACTTTTATGTAGCTCATTGCTCATTAGCCCAGCCTTACTGCAGCTTCGTAATAAAAAGGATTCCTTCCACTCTCCTTCCCTCTCTCCTCGGTTCAACGGTACTGTCTGCCTGTGAGCAGCAGGAACACCATTTACACCAGCCTCGCCCCAGAGTGCCTGATTGAAATTCTCACTCTATATTACCAGTCAACGGAAATGTTTAAGTGCTATTCCCTCTTCCCATCTGGAATAATACGCTGCAGTGCTCCGTGGCATTACAGCCTCATTTCAGGCAGCCAGTTGGCTGCTCTGCGTTTCTTACCACTGGCCATGGCCTTTATCGCCAGCGTTAAGTTCCCTGCACTTCTAAGTAGTTTGCAGTTTCGCTGCGACAAACATGGTAATGTGTTACCGCCCCTGGTGTTCCTCTGCCTTCTCTCATCTTCAATGCCCTGTTTTATTTAAAGCTGCTGTAAGCTGTTTGGTCGTCACAAATAATTATTTTGCCTCTTTTCCTTCTTAAGAGTGAGGTCCATGCTTGTGAACTGTTGTCTCAAAACTGTGCTCCGCTCTAAACATGCTGCTCCAGCATGTCAGACTGCTGTTATGCTTGTTATGTGGTGCTCTCATCTCCAAGAGAGACTGCCTCTATTGACTCACAGAACACATTTCAGGATGAACCTAAGATACTATTAGCTGCTTGATATTCATGCCTGTCTCTGCAACTCCACCTCTCACCATTGTATTTCCTCAACCACCTATTACCTTGTTTCCCTCTCAATTGGTATGCCCTTCATTGGCCCTATTCACCACCACTCCTGCTCTCATTTCGCCAAGCTCCTAAATCATCCGTCCTTAATTAGCTCTTCGTCTCTCCCCCACAGAAGCTCCAGGGCAGAACTTTGTGACTCTGGACTATCGCCTGCGCTACTACCCCAGCATTACGTACGCCGTCATTGGCAGCGCCGTCATCTTCGTCCTGGTGGTGGCGTTGCTCGCCCTGGTGCTTCATCACCAGAGGAAGCGAAGCGTCCTGCTGCCCAGAGGCGTGAGGGGGAGCTCGTACCACCACCACCAGCCCCTGCTGCTGTCCCGTCTGGTCATTTTGGAGCGGGGCCACGTCCATCCCGGGGGTGCAGGCCTCTCCCCCGGCTCCCCCACCGCAGCGGGCCAGTACAGCTCAACTCCTCAGGCACTACATCTGCTGTCTGGGACCCTTTATCCCTCCGGACTGTCCATGGACTCACCTCCATCATACTCACAAGCTGTTCTGGATGTCAGGTGAACAGAATAATAATTCTAACAGCTGTATGAGAGTTTATAATCCACTCTCTGTATTCATAAAGCTATTTGTGCACTCTACACCACAACTCAACCAAAAAAAGCAGAAGCAGTGGTGGTAGAAGTTGTCTCTATAGCTAAATCTAATTTAGTATATCATTTAATACAACATAATAAACTGTAATTGAATTGTCCTCTACTAGGCTGGGTAATCTTTTACAGTTATATATTATTTATTTAATTATGTAAATTAAATTATTTGATAAAGGATTGCTGTTGTTAAAAAAAAGCTAAACATACATTATTTCAAATAACTTATAGTGAACATTGCTCTAGAGCAGGGATGGGCAACTTGGATGGTGGTGGGGGCCACATAATGTATGTACTGACCATCAGGGGGCCGCAGATTCACTTGGAACACACACACACAAATTCCATGTGTTGTATGTAATTATTAACAAATATACTTAGTCTGACATCTGCATTGACATTTTTTGCAGGGAACATCCTCTAATAAGCTCACTAAACAAATATCAGTTCACAGAAATGTTATTTCATTTTTACAAGTGGCATGTTTGTATTGAACAGGTTATTTAACAGTGGAATAAAACGATTGGAAAGCACGGAAAATGTGTGTGCATTGAGATTAACCATTAAGATGACATAAACATGAAGTCATGAAGACTAACCCAGACATTAGTTGTCTAACTTGAACCTAAAACACTTGTAGCCTGTCTCTGCATTCCACTTATTCCACAATAAGGGGAATGTCAACACAGACACCTGTCAGCCCGCTCTCTGCTGTTCCTCAGCGGCGCTCCCCCTCCCGCTGAATTATGAATGAAAAGTGTATAGTAATCATAGATAACACGGCAGGGTCCGTGACAGTTTGGTTTCATCTGATTTCAAATAAACAAAGTCTTGGTTTTTAGAATATTAAACTTGTTTCGCCAAATTCAGATGATAAATCCAACTTTTAAGCTTGTAAAAGCATCATTACAAGAGGCAACCTAACGTCACAGCAGGCATAACAACAGCCAGTGTTTCTTGTGAGTGTTTCCCCGAGAAACAAACACAATACACACAAACGCGTCACAGATTATTTTGCAGTATTTGAAATCATGTACGCAGCTCGCGACGTAACTAGGAGTCTAGTGGACAGTATCAGGCCGCCGTTTGCCCATCCCTGCTCGAGAGAATTAAATACTGATTAAAGTCATCACTTTCTCTGCAATTACCTGCTTCAAAATGAATCATTCAGGATCAATATGTGCAACCTTTGTTCAAATTCAAAATAAATTGGGGAGAAAAATAAAATGTTGGGAATGAGAGTCTTTCAGGTGTTCTTAAATATTCATGTGATCACCAGCGGAGTGTGCTTCCTGAATATTGCTGCTGGTCAAAGTAAAAGAAAATCCAACACTAATGGCCCTGACATCACTTTCTTCTTCTTCTGTCTTTACCCCCAGTCGGCCTCCCTGGTTTGATCTTCCTCCTCCTCCGTACCTCTCAGAAGGAGAGCTTCCATCGGAGGGCGAGCTGCCTCAATACGAGGGCCCACAGGACCCTTTGAGCCTCCCCACAACGCATCTCTCTGCACCCTCAACACCCAGAACTGTGGCCTCAGGCACGCAGCCCACTTCCAGCTCCAGAGGGGAGTCGGAGCAGCCGTAGCCTCTCTGTTGGTAGAACTAGTCAGAACTCAGAGACTGCAGGACTGACGGAGCAGGCTGCAGGGCCACGAGGCCAGGACAGTCCAGAGGAAAGGCTTGCGATGGAGAATCCACAGGGACTGAGAGACTAAATGATGCCCTAAACTCTTGGGCTGATTGAAGCACTGGACTGAGATGAGCTTATCCTGCGAGACCAATGTTGTATGCTGGCTCCCCCTACTGAGGTCAGGGCTGCACTACACCCTCATCTGTTAGACGTTCATTCATTTCTCTACAGTTGCCTTCAGTTGACGTGCACTCCCCTTGGAAATATACTCTGTATGATACATTACAGTTACCATAGCCTGCATCTCTAAAGAGTTAAACTTACACTTATTATGAAGATATTCATTAAACTATCACATAGGATAATAACTGAAAAGGTGGTTGTTTTTTATAGTGTAGTTTATGGAGTGGTGTTATTCTCCAGTTTAACTCACTTGGAAAGCACTTACAGCGCCATGCATCATTTTGCAATACTCCTTACCATACTTCACATTTTACATCCACAATGTTTTCCATAGTGGGCTTCATAAGAGATTTGTATTGTGTTAAAGTGGACCTATTATGCTATATAGGAAAAAATATATTGTAGGGCCATACCTATACAAAACATGTCTGTGAAGTTCTTTGCTTAAAATACCAAACAGATCAGCCATTGTAGCCATGCCTCATACTGCTCATACCCCTGTTTTGCAGCCCTGTTAGAGAAACGCGGATTTTGGGTCCTTAGCTTAAAAAAAAAAAAAAGAGGAGGCGGAGCTAATGCCTGATCAGAATTCTACCGGTGATAAAGTAAAATTCTTCGCCATCCTGTTCTAAACCACATCAAAGATTATTTCTGAAACAGTATGGAGCTCAAATGCTTTTTCTCTTGCGGGTTTATCACAAGGTGAGTTCCTTTATTTATTTCCTGCTTTTTAAAAACATGTGCTCTACAGTACAGGTTAGCTCTGAGTGTTAGCGAGGCTTGCTAATGTAAACAAAGACAAAATTAAAAACACGTCAGGCATTGTTTCTGATAGCAACTTTCTGTGGGTCCGTCGACGATTTGACGTCATATCGGCACCAAATCTGTATCCGCTCGCTGTACCCCCATTTTAAAAAGATTTGGGTACGGAGGAAAAGAGAAAGGGTTTTATTTTCTGGCGCTGCGTGAGTTCCCCGACGCACAGGTGACACATATTTATGTATAAAAGACATCACAAAGTGCATTTTGCATGATAGGTCCCCTTTAAAATTGTAAATGACCTGACTGACAGATAAAGTATGTACTTTTTAGGATCACTGCTACATTTGATGATTTAATGTACTTAGTATGTAGCTTTGGTATGTTAATGCCTTATTTTCACCGATGTCGACACATTTTTTAAGTCAAAGAGAAGACGATACAGTAGAGTGATTTTAATAATAGTGTAACAGGAACAGCAGCTCAATCAGATGGTTTTTCACTGTTGAACCATGACCTAACAATAGGACTACAGTATGTTGGTTATAGTACAAATCAACACTTGTTACTCTTTCAGTGGTACTTTAAACTAAACTCATATAAGCAGAATGTTTTCGTGAGACATATCTAGGTGAGGTGTGGAGGAATATTTGTTTTTGTCATTTGGTTAACGTCAAACCTAAACCGTGAAAAGGACCATTGAGATTTGTTAAAAATAATATTGAGGTACATATCCTTACCAAATGAGCTTCATTAATCATTCCTCTAAGCAAAAGTATCACCTCTTGGTAAATATAACGTTTTATTACATTTCTGATTAAAGACCAATAATGTTTCTTTATGTAGACAAAAATAAATCCAGATGATTGTGTTGAGGCCTTAGTGTTTGTTAGTTTGGCCCTTTGTACGTGAAATGTATGATGGCAAAAATCCCCTATTTAGATCCTCTAAAAACAGTCCAGTAGTAATCTCACACAACAACATACATTGAAGAATATCATGACCTATATCAGACTGTTCAGACTTTTGTATGTATATAACTGTGTCATTCTGGAAAATCATCCTCAATAGAATTAGACAATGACGGATGAGTTCCTATCTGAAGGATCTGTTTAAATATGTTCTTTTCTTTTTTGACCTTTCTTCGTTCATTACAAAATGTTCAACACTGTACATGAATACAGGAATATGTATGTAAAGAAGTATTTAAAAAGTAGAGTGTAAAGCCAGAGGTGAATGTGTAAATGTAGTTGTGCCTTGCATCTTTCTTTTCCTCCAGGGCCAGCAGTAGTAACGCAGGCAGAAGAAAAACAATAAAACCAAAGATAATCATTTTTAACCACTACCCTCCAAAGGAATGATTATGTTTCACACTGTTTGCTCCTTTTAATATTTTAAAAAGTGCAAAGGCCTATAGAGTAAAACAGAATTGATGTTATTTGCTGTAAAACTGGAAAAACAGTTCTCAGGACGAAATGTATACCAGCCTGTCGGTTGTTTGTTTCTGGGGTTTTTATTAAGGAAAGATCAAACATCATTATTTCTCTGATTTGATCTCCTGAGGTTAATTACCTGCATTTGTTACGTTGCCTATCATGATCTTTTTACCACCTTGTATTCTTTATTTTGAAAGTAATATACAATTCTGACTCAGATCGTGTGTGTGGGTCTTTTACTGGAAATCTCATTTTACGGTTTCTCTGGAACTTAACGTATTCTAAAACCATGTGTATTGCAACGTATGGAGCTTTACCGCAGGACCAAACTTAGAACACAGTTCCCTAGATAATAAAGATAATAAATGCTGCTGAGTCTACACTGTGGGTAGAAACAAATAAACATTCTTTGGTGGAAGAAAGTAAATGTGATTAAAAATCCTGCATACTAAATGTTACTCAAGTTAGTTGTAGAAGTGTTATCAGATGAATGTTCTCGTACTGCAGTAGAAGTGGCCTTTGTGACTGAATATTATTATTAATTACATTATTAGTTCATCCTGATGCAAAAGTGTAGAGGCAGCATTATACTGTTGTGGAGCTTCTTTAGCTTCTTTTTATACAGTGGTTTCCAACCTGCAAGTTATTCTGCAGGACAAATGTGTATTCATATTTTAGAATTATTTTATTGACTTTTTTTCAAAAAAACTAATTAATAATTGTCACTTAATTGGGATTGAAACTATATCCTGAATGAAACAATGACGCATAAGCCAAAGTGTTTGAGATCAAGAATGTAACATTCTAATCTCCAGTTTAACAAGTTACTGTATATGTCCAATAAATGTAATTAAATATAAAGTACAATGTTTCTGTCTCAAGAGAGTTTAAAATAAAAATGAAAGAAGTGAATATACCTAGTTTTGTTTTCATCACTGAAAACCTTTAACAACATTTATAAAGCCTTTAATGGAGTAAAGTTATAGTCATGAGACAGTGAAAGCAAATATCATTAAGCTAGGAAGCTTTGTGTCCCCTCGAGTATTCATATTTCCCTTCATGCATTTAGTTTCTTTGCGCTGGCAGCAGAGCCCTGCAGTTCTTCAGATCCACCTCTAGAGGTCACCATGTCCCCATAATGAGACAAAGCTCTGTGCAGAAGGTCCAATGTGCAAAATTGAAGCTCTTCATATTTTGTTCTGCTGCAATGTAATCTAATATGTTCTGTCAAAGTAGCTATTGATACATTTCTTGTAAAAATGTCAAAGCTCAGATTTGCATATATCTAAGATTCATGGCAACTATCTACATCTCTTATGACACCTAGTTCACTGAATACATGAATAGTATGAATATTATCTCGCTAGTCGCCTCCTATTTTCATTGTAATGTCCCTGAAAACCCTGCATCTCATCCCGCCCCTCCCACCCTAATATCCGCATCACATTATGATACATCAGATAACATGTGATATCATCTCTGACACCCATCCCCTCTCCTGTCCTCCCCAGTGCCTCTAGCTGCCCCTCGCATCCTTAAAGTCCTGATCATCCTTCATCTGCCCTCACTCGTACATCTCTTCTCGTCCACCCCCCCCCCACCCTCCTCACTCCTTCAATGTTTGGCGCTTTTCTCTCATGGCCCCACTCTCCTTTACCTCATCTTAAACTCTGATGCTGGAGGCCCATGTTTGCTTAGCCCGAGCCCTTAACTACACAGACTTTAATTAAAAGCCTGCACGCTTCTCTTTTGCTGCCCGTCCTCTCTCTGTCTGCCCGGCAGCTGGTGAATTGGCAGAAGGGATATTTCTTCATATGTTGAAAACATTTTAAGTTATGCCCCCATGAGATCAAGCCAAATTTCTCTTGAGTCAATTGACCCTTAGTGCGCAATCAAGCAGAGAGCAGCAGAGAAGATGCAAATGATGACAACAAGGAAGAGGAGTAATAGTTGAGTTGGCTGTCATGGTAGCAGAGAGGAAAGTGGTGATGCTCATCTTCATGTAGATGAGGATTATTGTTAACAGACACCATGGCATTATTCCAAGGTGATGGTGAAAAGAGACTACTCTTCCTCTCTTGGGGGTCTTTCATTTGGCATTACCGTGGCCGTTAGCTGTTGGATAAAATACAAGTGCCATTTAGCCGGGCTAATATACTTCTCACAATAAACCCTCATTCTTTCAACTAGAGCTGAAAAAGATCCTTGAGGTTACTATTAATATATTATATTCGATATGATCATGCCGTGTCTGGTAATCTCTCCTGGAAATAGAAAAAAATATAAAGCCCAAGTAAGTATATAATATAAATATAAATGTAGCCACATAAGTGTTCCCTCATGCAGATCTCTCTCTTAAGGCCACTTTTGCTCACATATAGGAACATGCACTCACTTGGCCGGTGTGCCATAGCTCCAGTGAACTGGAGATAAGACCCGGTGTTTTCACATGTGAATGGTGTGAGCGTGGAGGGGAAAGAGGGTGTATTGTTAGCATGGAGCGGCTCTGAGGAGCTCTGCTGAGGGTTTGGCCAGCGCGACCCTTATCAGATGAAGAGCAGGCCTCTGAGGGAAGGAGGGGTCGGCGAGGGGCGAGGGCTGGGTAGGGTTGAGGGGGCCAACAGGAGAATAGAACAGCTGGCGGAGTCACGCGTGCAACCCCAAAAACACACAGAGCCCAGACTCGCTGAGCACGGTGGGAATCTCCTCCGCTAAGACATCCACAAACACACGGCCTCTTGTGTCATTATCAGCCACCAGCCAGCAAGTCTGAGCACATAATCACACACACAGCAGCACAGAGAGAGGAGCATGTCACACAATCACGGACACGCATACACACCACCATCCAGGACAATCACAAAGATTCACATTTCCATACAGGCGTCTTTACACATCATTAGGCTAACACACAATATCAAGACTTTGACCATGGTCACCATAGTGAATTCACCATTGAGAAAGTCGGCAGTTTCACTTAAATAATAAATCTGCTCTAATTTCCTCTTCCACATGGTTCCAACCTCCTTCTATTGCTTGTGTTATATCCTTCAGCATGTTTCAAATAATCTTTTCATTCTTTGCAATTGGTGCCATTCTCTCGCTCCATAAAGGCACTAACACTGATTCTGCATGTCTAACAACAAACAATATGTATTTAGGTCTTATATCAGTGGATGTCACAGTCTGATAACTACCAAAGGATCGACACATAAGTTGAAAAGACCA